GAAACATTATTGGAGAATTCCAGTTTCAAAGCCCAAAATTATGGATTTCATGCAGCTAAACCTGCACTGTGGTTAAAGGGGATTGTAGACAATGTTCGACACCTTATTTCAAGAATTTGAATTCATATCTTTACAAATCGTCCACAAATACATAAGATACATAACAGGGATTTATTAAAATTTCACTCACCAAAGAAGTTATATTTGTATTTTAATTTAAGCATGTTTATTTTGTGCACTTTTCCACACTATTTCCATAAAACTCACTTTTTCACACTTTTTTTTTCAAAAATTACATTCTATCAGATTCTCTGTGGTTGACAAAACATTGTGCTCGTATTTACGCAAAAATATATATTCATTTCAATTTACAATATCTATTAAATTAAATATACAATTGGTATAGATTGAGTCTTCAGGATCCAAAATGTTAGTAAAAAATGTTTAAAAAATGTCAAAATTCTGTCATATTTCAACAAAAATTAAAATTATAGTATGTGTTGTTAATGCTTCCCTAGTTTTTATAGATTCAAATAAATTACTGTAAAAGAAACTACAAATATGCATTTTCTGTCAGAGAATCCCTAGCAAAATGTATGCTTTGTTCATGATAGCTTCCATACACAATACTGTCATATGATAGAACAAGTGTTTTACCTTGTTCATGCTTCTCCTTTTTACAAACAGATTCTAACAACTCCTCTTCACTGTCTTACAAGACCTCTATTTTGACAGCATTTTTCTCTTCATGGTTTGACATCACTTTAAATGTTGTTGAGCTGAAATATATTCATATATATAATTTTATTTACTAGGTTTAGTAGTGATATAACACTAGAGTGCAGACACTAAGTCTGTGAAATATGTACAAACTTATTAGTGCTCAACTAGTTCTAAGTTAGTTCATATTAGTAACTAGCACTCAGCCGTGGAACAATAGTAAATTCTTTCATTACAAGCAGATGATTTTGTTTTTTTATCTAGTACAATGGTCTAAGAAAGTTACACACTATTCAACAGAATTGCAACAGAGTTGCAATTTTACAATCTGCGATAATTTTTTWAAAGTATTTTTCCGCAATAATGGCAAAAATTATAGATGTTATTACTTATAACATTTGTACATGAAAAACAATATAAAAACATGGTTTGAATGCTGAGGTGAGCTCCACGATGTTAAAGCCAATGCATCTTTGTTTATGCTTTGCTTTATTAACGATGATGCTGGACTATGCTTATTGAACGCCAACACTCTGGGGTTATTTAGCGCGGACTTCTCTTGCGCTGAAACATTGCTCAATATGCTTCGAAGCACAGACGTGTCAACYGATACAGCACATAGCTCATCTAGTTTTTCCACATTCTAGGCCATTGTGATAACACTAGTTTCTTGGTGGTCCTCTTCGTGCTCTGCTCTTGTACTTTCCTCTCTTGTACTTTCTCGCTTTCCTCCAGTATTCTACTGACAACTGCCTCCATATTGTTATTTTCTTCCCTTAAAATGGGCACTAT